ATGCAAGCACGCTTGATTAAATCCATCAGGTTATCGCAAAAAAAATAAGGTCGGATACTTTTCTCTCAGGCCTCGTATATATATTGTTTATGTACATAAAAGGCTTGAAGTAAACAAAAGTTAACATTTTCTTAAATCAAAAATGTATTTCCAATAATACTTACCTCCACTAAACTGCTAGAGTTTCTTTACCTTTGTCCATCTAAGCAATGTTTTCATTTGCTCCAGTCTTTCATTCCCCACTTAATTGTCCTTGGCAATATCTGTCCCATGACACTCTCCACCCATGTCAATGTGCCCTCTATCCTGGTATTGTATATAAGCACCTCCTTCAGATAATATTGTCACTTTTTCTAGACTGACCCAATCCATAATCTCTAACAGTGGCTCTTAGTGGGAAGGAAGGGTGAGAGAGTGTGAACGGAGGTAAGTAGTATTGGAAATACATTTTCGATTTAAGAAAATGTTAACTTCAAAATATACTTACCTTCTCTCACACTACAGCTAGAATCCCACATTGATAAGGTGGAGGGGCCAGTGAGGGCATTATCTATATAGAATAAATCTGCATAGATCGTTGGCAGGTCAATAGAAGATGAGCACCCTAGTGGGGGAACTGCACTACATCCAGAACAGGTATGCTCTTTACCCGAAACCTAAATCATGTACTGGCCAGGCTCTAACCAGGGAGCTGAGGTCCTACTGCTTGGAGTTGGAATTATAGGGCCATGGCCTCTAAATTCCATGTTGGTGGCTAGGGCATTTGGACTGCAACAGATATATCTGTGAGTGGATCACAACCTGTATCTAGAGAGTTATGCATTCTGAGCCACCTGAATCATGATGAGAAAGTAAGCAACAATGAAGTGGACAAACCTGCTCTTCGACCTGAAGAAGTCCAAAAGGCAATGCCCCAAACTCGGAATGACAGAATCCTGTATACCATACTCAACCTGAAAAAACAGAACTCAACCGGTCTGGAACTATGAACACTCTTCCACCTACCCCCAGAATTATGGGGAGGACGGGGAATCAAGGGCCCACCATGCAATCGGAATTATGAGGAGACAATGGACCCTCTTCCATGAACAATGTACTGAACCAATGTTGATCAAAAAGAAGGGCCATGCTCAACTCAACCAGATAGCTAAGTGTCAAATCTGAACCAGTATTACTAGTAGGCTCCCGTGTATGCTGGTGCCTCTCCTACCAATATCTGGGGAAAAAAACATCCAGGGTACCATGTAGGAAGGCTCCCAATCTCATCCTCTTTTCCAAGAGTGGAGGAAATTCACTCAAACACTCTGGAGCAATAACATCTGTCCACCACTCCAGTGACTGGATAGCGGGTGTGGTAAGGACTCCCTAGCTCCAATAGTAGAATATGGGAGAGAAAGAGAAAAGGAGCTGGAGGTGGCTGATCCAAATTGGCTTCATGAGAAACCTACAGAGTAAAGGAAGGCACTGCAAAAAGCAAATCTAAATTCTTTTCAGAATTGCCCGCAAGTGCAGCCTCAGAGCCCCTCGGAGAAACACCACCTGATCGATTGTACATTTCCATCTCACTACAAATAAGGCCACGGACAGCTTCCAGCTAGGGCAACCACCCACCCCCCTCGATTTGTGAGCAATGCTATATATCACAGGAGGGATAGGAGAGACCTGATTTGCCTCCATACCAGATACATTAATCTGGGAATACATGCTGAAAGTCAGCTTACCAAGTGAATTTTTCTTTTTTTTCTTTTAGTTTTACGAAAATCAAATAGGTAACATGAAGAACACTCAAAGTACCTCCAATGGTTGTACTACAGAGAAACCCATTTGTAAATGCTCTGTCAAGAAAAAGTGACAATATTATCTGAAAGAGTTGCTTATACACAGTATCAAGATAGAGGGCACATTGACATAGGTGGAGAATGTCACGAGACAGATATTGCCAAGGGTAATTAAGTGGGGAATAAAAGACTTGAACAAACGAGAATAAATCATACCAATGCTTAGATGGGCAAAGGTAAAGAAACCCTAGCAATCAAGTAATAGCTGTAGTTTGAGTGGAGGTAAGTAGGTTTTGAAATAATGGAATGGTTTTAAAAATATAGTATTGAAATATCAACAGTTATAGTTTTTAAAGCTGCTGCAAATAGAGCTGGGTGATTTATTTGATTACCTGTGAGCAACAATTGCATCAATTAGTGTCACACAAACTAACTGACTAATCAAAATTCTGATTAAATCAACTGTCACAAAAACAATCAACTACATAAAATTTGTTTCTGATTATTCCAACACTATATAACACTATTGAGGAATACTATATAAGCTCTAGTTGCAAGATTCAGAGAAATATAAGACGATATATATATATATATATTAATAAAATGGCTTTTTTCACCATGAATTACATCACAATGTTAACACTTTACATCTTGAATTAGTCTTCTGAGCAAATTTACCTTACGTAATTGAAAAATAAAATGAGAAAAAACAATTAACTACTACTTTTGATAATACTTATGACTATTTTTTGAATATATAACATTTCAAAATAATTTATAATGAATATGTGAATGTCATAATTCTAAGTTTTTGCCTTTTAGTAAAGTAACTTTGTCTCCAGAAAATTGCTTCTCAATAAAATAATTATCTATATCTATCTATCTATATTATATATAGTTTAATTTCTTTCATTAAAAAAAATGGATTTTTATCTGAAAACATGTTTATAAATCAATTAAGGAACTTTTAATTAGCACTATAAAATCAATAATAAGAAAAACAAGTATTTCAAAAGCACATCATACAGTGAAAATACAGTTTAAGAAGCAACCTTATAAAAACAAAGTGGAAGTGGCTAATTTTAATTAAGTTTTAATGACAAAGAATAGAACAATTTTCTAAAATAACCAAAATTATTAAACTTGTAAGGCTACCTTTGGCTGAATGCAAATTTTTGTTCATTTGACAACATCTAAATGACCATGGTAAACACATCATACTTGTAACTGCAGCATATGTTTACAGTAAACAAGAATTTACTAGCATTATACATCTACATTTAATGTCCTATTTTATGAGAAAAATGTCAGTTGAAACTGATCAAACCTGTTTGAAGAGCTAGACTTACAAACCATTCAACTATGTCCATGAAAAGAAATGTAATACATATACAGGACTACAGTTAACACTCTATGAAATATGTAGGACAACAGGCTGTACTTAACTACACTGTATGTATATACATTACTCAGTAATCAATTATCATTATGATATACCACATTTAATACATTATACTGCTGAAATGATTCAAATATGCCAACATAACATTTATAATTTCTATAAATGAACATAGCCATCAAAGTTTATAAATAATAGTTTAAACAAAAAGGAAAATAAGCTTTTTGAACTACATATATATATACGTACAACCTATAGTCTTGAAAAATCTTCATAGCATAATATAAATAAAAACAATGTATGTTTATCTTTCAAAACTTGTACAAAAAGATTAGAATTACATATACATACACACACATATTATTAGTGTTGTGATTTGGGTAGGTAGGAAAATAACATGTATAAAATGAGGATTACTTGTACTAACACGTAGATACAAATGGCATTTCAAGTTGTGTAGGCCCTAACATTACTTTAACAGTTAGCATTGGCCAAGGTGGGCTACTTATTGGCAGGTAAGTTGCATTAATTTTCTGTCTCAATCAGATAATGGTTTGTTTGACAACTTAATAAAAATCAGCAAAATGATCCATAAACTAATACACACAAAATAAACCAGAGAAATTGTGCATTTGCAAAAATGTTTTAAGACCACGAAATTAAAAACATAATTTAATTTTGATTCCATATAATGATCAAAACTGTTGCCTCTCCTAAGTGCAAAAAGATTCACACAAAACTGCATGTGAATGTTTCAAAATACACATCTACATGTATTTGTGTTTGCTAATTCATGTTTAAAAGACTTCCCACTTGAAAATTTAAGCTCATGATTCTTTGAACTATATATTCACAAGATGCCTTAATCAT